AATTCCCAGCACTTTCTCCAGTTTTCGCAAATCGTGAAGCCCTTTTTCGTGATGCAAAAGTGCGGTAGTTTCAGATGCTTTTTTGTCTCCAATTACCTGAGGAAAATATACGTGGAATCTTATATTAAAGTCAGGTTTACTCGCGCGATTGTGAATAAGCGACCATTGCTTGGGGCAATAATTTACTCGTGCTTCGTAAACAAAGGAAATAGGTCCCCATAAGATTAAGCGTTATGCAATGTATACCTTTAAGTAGATCACATAGGAAAGCTTTAATTTCTTACCATTAGTCCATATTTGTAAATAATCAATTTTATCAAATTGAATCCATTAAACTTGTGGTTCCAGACATCATATACTAATGCATATTTACAAAATTTAGAAAGCGACCCTTGGAAATGATAATAAAAGTAATGCTTACTGCAATACGTATATCACGTGAGGCTTATTTATCATTCACTTCCAAGGAAAATGAATCGAATGGAAGTAAAGGAACACTACAAGACCCTAATAAAGGAGGTATATAAGTATAAACAAAATTACAACAAAATTTTCGAAAGTGATTGGCCATCACCAGCCCTATTTGAGCACTAATAAGACAGTATACACGAAATGCTCGTCATTGGACAGTGTAAAAAGAGAGTGGAAACGTCATGCCTGTGTATTTAGACAGTACACATCGAGTGCGCGCGCCTTTGCCACTTATTCGCCGTGTTAACTAGTTTGTATTTTTTATTGATGAAAACGTATAACAGATTTTTAGTTTCGTTCTCAAATTTTGTCATAGTTTATAGTAATTGTTAACCGGACTATGTGTCATCCAATTCTGTCTGTAGTCATATTCGTAATGAAAGAACCCAACTGCGCGGTTGTCCTATTTTTTTCATCACTCGTAGTACATGGTTTTCAGGGGGAATGGAGAGGGATCTGTTGTCGTCAACAAAGCTTAAAGGGGTACTGAAAAATTGACTGCTAATTAGAAAATAAGTTGGACTCCTTTTAAAAGCATTGATATCCTTTCCGTTACGAGTATGCGAGCATAGATTTCTATTTTGACTTTTCTGAATAGCCGCTGGTCAGTAAGCAGACTGTTTCATCCCTGTTGGAGATTTAATTAAGACTTATTTAGCTTGCACACACCAAACAAACACCAAAATAAAGAAAACCCCAGAGAGACTGAAGTCAGGACTTCCTAATCCAGTTCTTTTCATGACATGGGCCCTTTCAAATATCTCGTACCTTAAGTTTACTTTTGCAATAACCTTGCCAGCCTCCTTTAATGTTGTAGCAGTAGGATACGGAGCTGTCGCAAATTGACGAACGACTTCCAAACATGGCCTGTCGGCGCGAGCGAGTATGTAATCCAAAGAATATCCTCAGCTTGCGCTCATCGTCTGTTTGGCTAGGATTTTTAAAGAAACTGTCAAACTTATAAAGCAGATTAAACTCATCCGAAATGATTATTTCTGGATGGGAATCTAAAATGGCAGCCACCAAACTATGACCGCTTCTTGGATGTCCAACGAAGAGCACAAAAGATTCAACATTGCGATATAAAAATTTCAGCTCACGCTCCAGTTCTCCTTGAAAGAAGAAGAAGAAAAAAGGCGATTCAGTGACTTAATTAAGACAAAGAGATTGTCCTGAAAAAAAGACGATTAATTCACGGAAGTAAATAAGATTAAGGGAAGAGACTATCAAAAAGGTTTTTCGCTTAACTAAGGAAAAAAAACACTCGGTGTTGCTATAATTCTCGATATTCTGTTTTTTTGCCTTGGTTTTTTCCATCGTTCTTCCTCTTCATCCGTTATTAACTGTGCACTGGTGAATGCTTTTCTACTCAGGATTTACCTTCCCACGTATTCTTTTTTAAAATTTGCACCTAGATTGTGACTACGGGTCTTTCGCTGAAACTTGGGTGAAACACGAGGCCAATTGCCGCACAAAAGAACTACTACTACCATTACAAACGGGACCAAAATTTGAGCCTTTTCCACCCCCTGGGGCCGCTGAAATTCGTACGATTTGACATCAGGGATAATTGTGTAGACAGGTACAAATCAATCATTTATAGCCGGTCTTTACATAATCTACACACGTTAAATGCTTCTTCGGTGAAATGCTTGCCTATTAAGTTAAGAAGCTGCTAAGCAATCGATGATTGGCTTACACAGGAAATATCCAAACACTGACTGTGCCTTTGTAGTTTGAAATAATTGATTATGATTATTCAAGTTTAAGTATTTATCTCTAAGAACTAACGAGTATATGCAGACAGCTTGATACAAACAATAACGACGAAAAGTTATTTTCATGGAAATACTTTACTTTCGAATCAACAACTTTTTAGAAACGGATTCTACGATAAAAATTAATGTGAAAAAGCAACGACGTTACGACCGCTCAACGGCCATTTTCAAATTTAATGATAAAATTTTTTTCATGCTCTCATATAATCAACTGTGAAAATACTAATGAGATACAGACTAAAACTTTGAAATATTTACATTAAAACAATACGAGAATATTGCGGCAAGAATGACAAAAAACGTTTTAAGTCGAAAGAAACAAAAAAAGTGAATCGATTGGGTAAATACTTTTGTACGGATCTAATCAAAAACTCTGTTTGTTCAGTATTGGTCTGAGTACGCGCATAAAAAACATTTTAATGATCAAACAGTCCATTTCACTCTGACATTTCTCCTAAATCTTGAAATTTCTTCCAATGGTCTCAGGATCCTTTCCATGCTCGTCCTTTACGTGAGTGCCGATTATTGATCTAAAATCCGTTCCTAAAAATTTGTGGATTCGAAAGTTGAGCATTCCTATGATAATAACTTTTCGTTGTTATTGATAATCTCTGTGTAAGCATCCAAAATGGCACAGATGAGAATATGACCACTTCGAGCGTGGCCAATGAATAAAACAAAAGTTTCGACACCATCGTATAACGTGTTGAGCCGTAGCTTTAGATGTCCTCCAGAGAATTGTTCTCGGAAAATTTCAAATGGATTTAAGGAGTTATTAAATCAAATAGAAGCATGTTAATTCAGTAGAAGTACCCTTATGGCAAAGGTAAGTAGTTTTCAAGACAATAGATGGAAAATTAAGAAATCGAAGAGCTGAATTTTCAAAAAACTTCGTGCAAAATACAAGATAAAATTGTATTCATAGACAAAATACCGTGAACAGTAATAACAGAGACATTCTTCCTGTAGAGGTTAGGAATCTGTTATTAAAACGCGAACAACATGACAAAGAACATTCAACATAAACGAATTTCATTTAGGTACAATCAAATCAAGGTCTTTTCACATGTATATAACTTTTCGAGCCTCTGCAGTAGTCCTTCGTGTAAAAACCCAAGACTATTCATGAACTAAGCCTTTCATTACCTCTTGGCGAGAATGGAGTGATTTCAAGATCCAACTTGTGTCAATCCTGCTCTCACATAAAGGTCAGTTGTTATGGAGTGTTTACAGAATAGTTAAGATTAATGCCTTAAATGAATGTGTTTCTTGCAGGTTTTGCTTTGGAGTTGAGCCTTATCTTTAGATTCTCTGAAATCATTGGATACCAATAGTTAAATAAATCTTAATTTTACAAATATATTTTTAAATAAACTGAAAGCTAATGATCAA